AGCCGGGCAGGTCCTGTGGCGGGTTCCTGCAGACGGAAATCAGCTCTGTCCTAGCCTGCCGTCTTCTCGCCCACCCCAGACTCAGCCAGAGCGTTTGTGCCAGAGCTGCTGTGCTTTGCAAGGTACCCTCATTGGCCTGGTCTGCATCTGAGGCTGCCCCCTGCTCAGGTTCCCAGTGTTAGAGGGGCCAGGGTCTCCTGTGTTATGTCTTCATCTGCGTTCTTGCTCAGCACCTTCTTTCTGCTCCAGTAGGGGCAGGTCTGTAAGGGGCAGAGGAGCTCTGTAGGGAAGGGATTTCCTGTACAGGCTTGTGTGACACAGATGGGGCAGTTGCCAACGTGTTTTCTCCTTCACCTGTCTTTTTCCCTCTCTCCATCACTTGCCTCATGTGCAGAGCTGGAGAAAGCTGAGAGCGAGGCTCTGGCCATGCGGAAGCAGTCCGAGGGCCTCACCAAGGAGTACGACCGCCTGCTGGAAGAGCATGCCAAACTGCAGGTCAGCCCGCCTCCCAGTGAGCGGCACTGTGATCTACTGTGCTGGTGTGGCCTGGGAGCCCCTGCCTCTGCCACAGGCCCCTTAGAGGCCACAGCCTGTGCTCTTCCCACTTACCCTTGCCTCCTGCCCAGTTCTGGCCTGGCCCAGCAGACACACCCGTCCTGCACGCAGGAGGGCTGTGGCCTGCTGCCTGATGGCAGGCACTTGCAGGAGTGGCCCGCAGGAGTGGCCCACAGCAGTGGGGTTGGCTCTCTGCTTTCTGGGCCTTCCCCTCTTGTGCCTGGCCCCAGTCCTCTCAAGAGGAGTTCATTACCTTCCATGCTACCTCCAGGCTGCAGTGAGGTGAAACTCTGGGCCCTACTGCTTATATTTGGTTGTGGTAGATCAAGTGTGGTGTGGGGTGCAGAGCCCAAGGCCCTCGAGGGCAAGGAGCTGAAGGTGTCACTTGCTGCTATGGCAGCTTGAGGACATCACTGTGTCTGGAAGCTTGGATGATCTTGAAGTCAGGTGTGAGGGCCAGGCGCAAATGCCAAGGTTTGAGTGCCACAGCGGTAGGGAGGAAGCTTGGCTTGTAGTAGGGGGCATACTCACTGGGTGGGACATTTAAGGCCCCAGCCCAGCCTGCAGAGGGTATGATGGGCGGGGTGGATCCAGCTACTCCCCCAGCCAGGATTCAGCCCCCAGCAAAGCCCTGGCATCCTCCCAAGGTTGGCATAGTTTTGACACCCTCCCTAGAGTGTGGGTAAGGGCTGATCCTCCCACCCTGGCAAGCCTTCAGGTGCTGCTGGGGCAGGCCCTGTCTACCTGGATAGGTGTCATTCAAGGGAAAGGAAACTGAGTTGGGCCTTGGGAAGGGGGAAAAGTCTCAGGCAAGGCATGGGCCTTGTCAACCTGCGTTGGGGTTTCTGTCCCTCTCCAGGCTGCAGTAGATGGTCGCTCGGACAAGAAGGAGGAGTGAGGCCCTTCCTCCCCTGCCTGCAGCGCTTCCTTGGCCGTGCTCGCTGCTTCCTGGGAGCCCAGCTGTGCGCTCTCTCGGGCCTTTGGTTCACCCTCTCGGCCACCCCAGTTCCTCCACAGCTGTAGCTCGTCAGCTCGGCCCCTGTCCACTCTGTCCCAGCATACCTTTGGGGCCTTTCTGGTTGCCTCACGTTTGTCCATTTGTTCATTTGCTCGCTCGGAATGAGTTTGCCTTTGCCCTGCCGGCCCAGCCTGGCTTCTGCTCCTGGGAGAGTGAGGGCAGTGGTGACTCGCCTGTGCGGGGCCTGCTTCCCGCTGGTGGCGCCTGCTCTAGTCTGGCCGCATCGCTGTCTTCTGTGGTCCTGCAGCAGCGGGGCGGTGCAGCAGGCTGACTGGCTTTTCTCAGGCGCAATAAAGGTGGTTACGATGTGTACATGGTGCTGGTATGTGTGACTGAGGCCATGGGCAGGACTGGGTGGGAGGGTGTGGTCGGGGCCCTCACAGAGCCCATTGTTTCTCCAGCTTGTTCCAGTCCCCGAAGACCAGGCTCGCACTTGCCCCTGAAGGTCCTGCCCGCACTGCCCCTCCCCCTCCTCTCCCAAGGTTGGGCTGGGCCCCACTTTATGGCCACTTGGGGAGTGTCTGTCCTGTCAGTCTCGCTGGGGGCTGGGAGCTGGGAGCTGGGCTCCAAGGAGCTTGGGAGGCTCAGTAAGCTGATGGGGCTTCCGGGTTCCTGTTCATCACATTTGGGACAGATAGACTGTGGCAGAACGCCATCAGTCACTCCCTGCCCCGCCCCTCCTGAAGGTTTGCTGGCTGACCTCTGACTAATGTTGACTGGCAGAGGATACTTGTCCTTGGCTCTGACCTGGAGCTGGCCTGGGCACAGCTAGGTGGTGGAGAGGGGCTGCGAGCGAATCGGGGCCACCTCCAGGAGAAAGGTGGCCCCTGTCCCTGACCTCTTGCTTGCCCTCTGCTGAGCCTGCTGAGGACTGGCTGGAGAAGTTGGGGGGCAGGTTAGAGGTTTATTTCTTGAAATTGGTGGAACCCTGAAGATGGCGAGACCACACATTCCCCCTGTCTGGGCCCGGGCTGGTGGATGCCTTCTTGAATGTCCTGTAGCTCTAGCCCACACTCAGGGCATTGTCACAGGGCAGTCTGAGAGGTGGCATCTGCTGGGGCAGGGGGCATGCAGGTGACGCCCTCTGGTTGCTATGCCAAGGCTTAGAGCTATTCCCACTTTTCCAGGAAGTGTTCCTTGATTGCCTCCAGCCTCCCAGAGCTCGCCCTTCTCTGAACTTCTAAAGGGTAAAGTCCAAATGGCCAGCTCACGGGTTTCCCCCCTGCATGACAGATGGCCACTCCTCCCATTCCCCCAGGCCCTTTTTCAGTCCCTGCCCTGGGCTGGGCAGAGGACAGCGAGCTGCATGGCTTTGCCAATAGGCTCCTAGAAGTGGAAGCCAGCTGCAGAGAAAGAGCCCCTCTGGGACCTGCCTGCCACCTAGTTTCCTAGAGCAGCCATGGTGACATGGGCTGTCCCCTCCCATGATGCTGTCCCAATCCCTTTCCTGGATCATGGACTGCTGGAGGGCAGAGGCTGCTCTCATAGCTCGTTTTGGAGTGCGTGGTGTTTCGTCCGGGCCCAGTTCCAGTGCTGGTCTCAGTGGTGTTCTGTCTGCTGTCGGTGCTGCCCGTGTCTCTAGTGGTACTGTGCTAGGTAGCTTGGAGGTGCGTGACTTGCGGGTGGGACAGCAGGGAACAGACCATGCCAGACTCTTACCCAGAGATGGTGTGAGCCTGGCCCTGAGGGTGATGCTGGGCTGCAGGTTCCTGGATGGGCAGAGGCATTTTGGGGGTAAGGGTGGTATGAGGGGCTTAGGACACCCTGGGGAAGTCTGGTGGCATTTAGGAGGGGTCTTTGTGGTGAAGAGAGCCAGGTTACAGACGGGAGCTCCCAGCAGGTAGTTTGTCTTTTTGTCACTGTTCCCCTCCCCCCAAGTTTCTTTCATGAGGGAAAAAGACAGGCACCCTTGACAGGGTCTGATCATGCCACGATCTCCTCTCATCCCCCCAGCCGCCTTTTTTTTTTTTTTTTTTTACAGAATTATTTATTCATTTATTCTTAATTTGACCAGAGAGTGAGAAACTGAGAAAGCAAGGTACCAGGTCTGTGACTCGAACTGTGGTCAGCCATGTAGGAGTCCAGCACCTTAACCACCATGCCACCTGCCGGCCCCTTTCCCAGCCTGCTAGCTGGTCAGTAGGCCAGGTGCCACCTAGCAGTGCAGTTGGTTGTGCTGTTGCCCACACCGCTGTGGCCAGGCCGGGCTGGGGTCTTCAGGCTGCCAGCATGGTCGGGCAGGGAGTGTGCGGAGAGAGATTGACCAGGAGGCCAGCAGGGGGGTGGCAGTGCTGAGGAAAGTGAGAGCAGGAGCCTGAGGAGCAGCACCAGGCCTGGCGGCAGTCCGGTGCCCATGGAGTGGAGCGGAGGTCGGTTGGGCTGTGTACCTTTCTCAGCTCCTTGCCCAGTTGGAATCCACCCGACTGGCTGTCGACTGGGCTCTCCCAGGGGTGGTGTTCCAAGACGGTTCTTCCTCCTCCGCAAGGTCCTCGTCTCTTCCTTCCCCTCCCCGCTGCCAAGTTGGCCTCGACCCCCACGCTCTGCTCCCCGGCCTCTGCTGAAAAGAGCCAGAGCTGCCTCTGGCTGCCCCTCACGCCCTCTCTTGTGGCGGGGGCGCCGTGTTGTCATCTGAGGCTGCTGTCCATTGTGTGCTGGTCTCACCCATGCAGGGGGCTGTCGGGACTCTGTAGTCCTCTGCCTAGGTGTAGGGAGTGCCCTGGCTACCGCAGACCATGGCGAAGGCAGCAGCACGTGGTGTGAGCACGAGGGGCAGACCCACTTGTGATCGCAGTGGTCACACGTAAGGACAGAGCCCTTGGGCCTAGTCATCTAAAGGTCCACCTGTCAACACTGGCACTGGGGGTAACACATGAACCAACACATGAACTACGGGGGACACGTTCAAACCATAGCACCACCCCTCTTTTATCATCAAGCATACATCATGTGCAATGTGCCATCTGAAGTGTATGACTGCGGTCGGGGACATCGAGCAGGTCCATGCCACCGTGCGTGAGCTCTGCCCCCCACTACTCCTGCCGCCCCAGGCTGGGCAGGGCCGACTGCCTCTTCTTGCAGGCCTGCTCCTGCACTCTGCTTCCTCAGGGCTGGCCTAGCAGGGCAGGCTGTCTGCGTCCTCCCCAAGGCCAAGGGCTGGGGGGCAGCCACGTTACTGTCTGGTACCTCTATCAGCGGATGTCAGGTCTCAGGTGGTGCGGCCTCTCCTTAGGCCTGCCTGGTCAGGCCACCCGTGTTCTGCCAGACCCAGCCCCGCGGCTCCCTTCACCTGTGCACCCGAGGGCTGGCAGCACCTGAGAGGATGCTTACTCTTCCTCTACATCTGTGGTTCCCTGGGGTCCCCTCTGCTCTGCCAGTGGCAGCAAGAGCTCCCAGAGTTCCCCTAGCTCCAGTCTAGACCCTTCCCAGAATTGCAGTCACCTCCATCTACCCACCAGTAGCCGTGTGCACTTACTGGCCCGCCTGAGGCTGACTCCCAGTCGGTCCCTCCTGTCTCTGTCTTCCTGATGCTCGGGTGTGCCTGCGCCCTCCACTCCCTACTCTCATGGCCTGGTCACGTCATCCACGCCACCACAGACCTCTAACCTGAAGCCTTTTCATCCCTCTACTGCTGCTGCCCTGCTCAAATGACAGCCTCACCCTCGGGATCTTGTGTTCTGGCCCTGGCCTGCCCCTTTGCCTCCTTCAGGTCTCTAGTGATTCCAGCGCCCACAGCTTCCCACCCACCTTTCCCTGTGGCAGAGGATCTGCTTCCTCCCCTCCCCTGCCTCCCCACGTGTTCCTTCCCTGTGCTGGGCCCAGCCCCCAGTGCAGCTCTCCTGGGGCAGAGAACGCCCCCCCCCCCCACATTCCGAGCAGCCCTCCCAGTCCCAGAGAAGCCCAGGGAGAGGCAGGAGGCAGCTTTGGAAAATGACACGTGTTTATTGCTATGTTTGCAGTGGCTTTTTAGCACAGTCAAGATGTCCCCGCAGGCCGCCGCCCTCGCCCAGCCCCACCCCAGCCTCTGTCACTGTGGGGGAAGCTCCTGGGGGCCACTCAGCTGTCTGGGGACTTGCCGTGACACAGACGTGGGTTAAAGCTGCTACACGGAAGGCTTGAGAGGTGGGAAGTGCACTGGCCTGCAGCCTGGGGGTGGCAGCCATGCCTGGGTTCCCTTCCCTGGGTGGGGCCCACCTACTACCCCTGCCAACATGCCCAGGCCAGGGAGAAGGGTGCGGGCGAGCCTGAGCATGCCCGCTGAACAGCCCTGCTCCCCAGGATGCCTTGCTGCAGACTCTCGCCCCGCAGGTTTGTAGGCACAGGGACAGCAGGGGACACCCCTAGATCCCCACCATGCACTTTTCCACCCCAGTCGGGCCAGGGAGCACACGCATATGTGCGCGTGCACACACATCCACACAACAGACTCACACTTGACAGTTTGAAGCGTTTGTTTTGCCTATGAAAATTAGATCTATAAATTCACACTCCTTGGCTAGGGGCAGAGGGGTGGGGAAGAGGGGAAGGAACGGGGAAGGGGAAGAAGAGGGCTGGTTTAGGCTCTTTCTCATTTTAGAAATATACAAGCAGAAATCTTACTCTCTCCTCAAGTTTTTATAAAATGTGCAAAATACACGCCTCCTTTGCCCAGAGGCACCACTTAATCTGATATTCACCTTTGCTAAGAGATCTACATATACTCATAGGACTCACATACGTACACTCATACCCAAGCTCACACATCGATATTGGTGGCGATTGGCGCAGGAACCAGAAGGCTCCTTTGCTGGCTGGCTCTCTAAGCTTCTAGAATAGGGATGGGGCAAGGGGTCTAGCCCAACTTAAATAATCTTGGTTTGGCTGCCCCTCCCTCCCCTCCTTTTCCTCTTCCCTGCCCTTCCTCCCTCCCCTCCCCTCCCCTCCCCTCTCCACAGTACCCCTACCCTGTCTTCCCATTCTGTTCCCCAAGCTGTCACTGTTGTGGGCAGGAGGGGTGATGGTGAGGGGCCACCCAAGAGGGTGTTACAGTGCAGAGCCTGGAGAGGCAGACACGGCTGGGCATGGGGAGGGTCTGAGGGTATTGGGGGAGGGGCATTAGGCGGGTCAGGGAGCAACATGTGGACAGCTTGGCTAGGGCCAGGGGAGAGGCATCTATTTTTGGTGGGTTGATATTTTTGGCGTTTTATTAAAAATGGAAAAAGTTATTTTAGTTATAGCACTCGTGGTGCTTTCTCCCCTCCCCCCAGGCAGACCCCAGAACTGTCAGGAAAAGGCAGGCCCCCTGGAGGAGGGGTGGGGCTAAAGCAGGGGTTCTGCTATGGCTACCAGAGGGGGAGCTGGTGATGTGAGCTGGGGTGGCTGTCACATGACACTCTCCACCACCACGACCTTGCTGCTCTCAGACACTGGGGTCAGGGTGGTCAGGCCCCTGACGTCGGCATCCTGAGCTCTGTACTCCAAGTGGTGGAGGCCCCAGACAGGCTGCGTCAGGTGCTGCCAGCGCTGCAGGGAAAGAAGGGCAAGGGGCCGCCCCCCACACACTGGGTGCTGGCTTGTTCCCATGGTAACTCCTGCCTGCCTTGGTTCCCACCACCTGCCACCAAATCAGGACCCCGCCTCCCAGGAGAGCCTCCTGGCTCCACCCCTTGCCTCCCCTCCCAGGCCACAGAGGGCTAGCTCTCACCGTGACACCTCCCTTTTTCTGGCTGGGACGCCACGTTCTCATGGGCGGCTGCCCTCCACTGCGCACTAGGTCTTGTCCCTACAGAGGCCTGTCAAGGCTCTCTCTGTGCGCCCCGACCCCCGTGTCTTAGTCCGCTCCATGCTGTTCTACCACCACCGGAGACCGGGTAATTTATAAAGAAAAGTCTGAGTTGGCCAGAGGCTGCTGGCACAGTCTGTCCTGTGGGGGTGCTTACCTCAGCCATGGTGCCCTTGGCCCTGAGGAGGCAGCCCAGGAGGTGGAGGGGCACGCAGAGCATGGAGGAGAGTGCAAAGGCCCAGCCCATGGCCTCGCCCCACCACGGGTACACGTAGGTGTTGTTGTACACCAGCGGCTCATAGTACACCACATTGAAGAGGAAGATGCCCTGCAGACCCGAGCCCTGTCAGTCAGCCCTGTCCTCCGCACCACACCACCTCATCCTGCCCAGGGGCCCCAGCTCTTACCATGCAGACCAGTGGGGTGAAAAGGGACCAGCACCATTTCATCCAGGGGCAAGGTCGGTACCCAATCATACAGGCGATGTCATCCATGAAGCGGTCAGCTCCTGGGGGAAGCGAGGGCAGAGCTGGAGACCCATCGGCTACACTGACCTGGCCCCCACGCT